CACCAGACGAGCCTTGTGCTTCACAACTTCTCCTTTTTCGTTGCGCTTCAGTTTGAAGACCCATTTGAGCCCTATGGCTCGGTGTCCCGGTGGCATATCCTCCAGACTCCACGTCTGGTTCTCAGTGATGGATGTCATCTCCTCCTGCATTGCCTTCCGCCAGCACGGGTTCTTTTCTGCTTCGGCGAAGGTGTTTGGTTCATCTGCACTGACGGCATGTAGTTCGGCCACTTCCTCGAGCTCGCGCGCTGCTAGTCCAGGTGGTTCACCTCCTCCCACTAGGTCATCCATCCTCCGGTACCTAGCCTCCAGATCAGTATCGTGATCGGCATCCAGCGTCGAATCCGCAGTCCGTGGTGTTGCGAATTCCACTGGTTCATGTGGTGCACCTGCTGGCGGCGGTGACGTCTCCTGATGCTGGGCTCCTCCTTCTTCAGGCTCAGTGACGAGGTACTCCACCGTGAATTGATTTGGATTACGGTCTGCCTCGATCACGTCATTCCACTGCCAGAAGGTGCTTTCGTCGAAGACGACGTCGCGAGACACGTGAGCTCGCCCCCCCACAGGATCATAGAGTCTGTACGCCTTGCTCCCGGGTTCGTAGCCGATGAATACGACCTTCAGCCCCCTGGGATCGAGCTTGGCGAGATGGGGACGTGTTACCTTCATGTATGCGACGCAGCCGAACACGCGAAAATGGTGTACTGTTGGTTTTTTGTTGTACCAGGCTTCATATGGCGTCTTCCCGTCGAGGCTTCGGGTTGGTGACCGATTGAGGAGATAGACAGCCGTCATTACTGCCTCTCCCCAGAATCTCCCAGGCATCCCGGCCGTCACCAACAATGACCTCGCTGTCCCGACAATGGTCTGATTTCGGCGCTCTACCACTCCGTTCTGTTGGGGGGAGTAGGGCGCCGTTAGGTGCCGTTGTATGCCGACCTCATCGCAGTACTTACTGAAACTTGCCGAGGTGAATTCTCCGCCACGGTCTGTGCGCAGCACTCGCATCTTCTTCTCACATTCGGCCTCCGCTCGCGCTTTAATGCGCTTAACCGCCTCTGCCGCCTCACTTTTCGCTTGCAGCAAAGTCAGCCACATGAAGCGGCTTTTGTCATCGACTAACAGGAGGAAGAGACTCTTACCGCCTGGGGTCGCCGGCTTGATGGGCCCGCAAATATCGCCGTGTACAAGCTCCAATGGCTCATCGGCTCGGTAGGCTGTTCGAGACGGAAAGGGTGTGCGCTTCTGTTTGCCGATGAGGCACCCGTCGCACAGCTTGTTCACGCCTTTGATTTCTGGCAAGCCGTGCACCAACTCCTTCTTCTGTAACTTTTCTAGGGCAGGAAAGTTTAAGTGTCCGTACCTTGCGTGCCACCTCCAAGATACCTCTTCGGTCTTGGCCGAGAGGCTAACGGGTTGGTCTATCTCTAACTCCAGGATGTAAAGACGGTTTGTGGTTCGTCTTGCCTGCGTGAGCAGCCGTCGTTGATTATCGCAGATTTTCAGTAGTCCGCGCTCGATGGAAATGAAGCAGCCTGTCTCATCGAGCTGACCCAGGCTCACAAGGTTAGCCTTGAGCCTCGGGATGAAGTAGACGTCGGTCAGCTTGCGATGCTCGCCTCCCTTACTGACGAACAGGATGGTGCCGCGCCCTTCGATCTCGACGACGGAGCCGTCGCCGAATTTCACCGTCCCACGGATCCCCGAGTCGAGCTCGGAGAACGCAGATCTAGCCCCGGTCATATGGTTTGTTGCCCCTGTGTCAAGGATCCATTGCTGGTGCTCGTGTTGCTCGTCCCTTTCGCCGATCTGAGCGAACACTCGCTCCTCCTCCAGTTGAATTGGCTCCCCAGTTGGTGCCAGCTTTGCTACGCCCAACTGGAGCTCTTTCTTGGGTTCAAGATCGTCGTCGGAGTTGGAATCGAAATTGGGGACGCATGCGGTTACCATGAAGAGAGCTGGCTCGTCCTCCTCGGATTGAGCCACATGGGCCTGGGCCTTTTCGGCCTTCTCCTTATTCCTCAGCTTGCTCCAGCAATTTCTGCCCAGGTGTCCTCTCTTCCCACAGTTCGAGCAATGGATCGGCCTGCCATTGGTCGACTCCTTCTTTTGATTCTCATCTTTCCCGCGCGTGCGCCCGTGGGACATCCATGGCTTCTTACCGCCTTTGCGGCTGGAGGAGGACCCGTTGCTCTCGCCGGTGTTGTCGCGGAGCTTTAGGCGTGCAAGCCATTCCTCCTCCGTGAGGAGTAGACGGCCCTCCTTGTCAACAGCTGAAGTGATATTCTTCTTCCGCTGCTCGACGTTACGTAGTCTTCCGGTCACCTCTTCCACTGTTAGGTCGTTCACGTCAAGCAATGTCTCGATTGAAATCGCGACTTGCTCGAGGTGATCGGGAACGACCTGCAACATCTTCTTCACGATTTCTGTCTCGCTGATGCCACCACCGAGGGTGGTGATGCTGTTGGCGAGCCCCGTGATCCGCATTGAAAAATCATCGACGGATTCGCCGTCCTTAAAGCGAATCTCCGAGAGCTCCTTTCGCAGTTGCTCGATGTTGGATTCCCGCACTCGCTGTACACCGACCCGACGGGATTTGATTCCCTCCCAGGCCGATTGTGCGGTGCGCTTGGTGGAAAGAGAAGCCAGCATCTCTGGGGGCACAGATCGTAATATGGCGGCGAACGCCAGCCGATCCTCCCGGTACTCGATTGTTTCTCCTTCCTCTGGCTCGACAGCGTGCCATAACCCTTGCGCCTGTAGGTTAACACGCATCAACAAGGCCCACTCGTTGTAGTTGGACCTTGTCAACATCGGGTACTGAACGACGGCGGTCGTTGTCTCTCTGATCACTCGCTCAACAACTACTCGACGCCCGTCATCACGATGTCGGCCACGGCCTCTTCGTGGTGGTGATGGAGATGCCGGCACTTGGCGGCGTGGAGGAGTGAGCGAGCCTGCTTGAGATGGGCCCCACGATGTATTTATTTTTGTGCTTTGCATTTTCTTCTACTCGAACCTAAGACCTGTGTGTTATTAGATCGACGCTCTAACCACTTGAGCTATTCAACTTGATTGTTGATAGGTTGGCTCTTCTGTGATGGTATACTACCGATCGCTTCAACCAGGCTCTGATACCACTTGTTGACTCTGGCAAATCGGATGTCGACGAAAAAAAAAAATTGGCCGAAGGTTTCTTCGAAGGAAAAATTAGCGGAAGTAAAAGGAGAGAGAGAGAGAGATTCGCTGGTAATGCTGAAGACTCGATATATTTATTTTACATCCGTTGAATGGTTTAAATAATAAATCTAATTACAAAAATAGAAAAACCAAATATACACAAATAGAATAAGTGGACGAAGACTCCGCCACTCTGCCAAAACAATGGCCCCTAGAATCACGCTCCTCCATTCGCGTGAACTCATATGTTTTTACAAACCTAACTAAATAAGGCAGAGCTTTTATTTAACAGCCAATAGCTATGGCAGATTATAGTGTTTGCAATGATTTGAGCCATTATTAAACAGATCAAACCTGCGACTCCCAATTTGAATGCTTCACTTTCAGGCAGAAAGCAGAATCTGCCGTTCAATTTCAGGTCCTTTTTCTACCACATATTTCGATTTCGATGATTCAGGAAATTTTTGTATGAAAAATCAATACTGTAAATGAGAAAGAAAGTGAGAGAAGAAACTTACACTTGTTCTGTTGAATTCAGCAGCCATACATGACGCGAAGGAGGCGAGGGTAAGGGTTGCGACAATGGAAAACCCTATCACGAAGAAGCTGGATGGTGGCTTTTCCATGGCGGCCAGAAGATCGAAGAAGTGGGACTGAGTTTAAATCAAATCATGATATTTGAAAGGGAAAGGCTCTTCGAGGTTAGTGGTGGAACGATTCATCATTTTCTCCCTTCACTTATGAATGCTGTGACTTTCCTCGAGTCAAATCCCTTGTTTTTCATCTTCATCTCATCACTGGTCAAATACAGACGAAGGGGAAAAGTTGAAGCAGATATTAAAATTTAAACCGATGGTTTTTTTTTTTTTTTTTTTTTTAAATTTTATCTTTTAAATCGTTAGCCAATTGATTATGGTTTAGTTGGTGGACTTGAACATTTGATAATGACACCCTTCCCCAGATGCCCGTTTACCTGAAACTTATTAAACACAGGAAAAGGATTGAAATTCCACCACACGAAAAAGCCATTAGAAAAAGAAGGGGAGAGAGGGATAGATAGAGATGAGCTGACCTGTTGTAGAAGGGAGTCAAGTTTTGTAGGGGACCCAGCTGACTGATGACTTTAAAGAACTGGTTTTCATGGGGAATGGAATAATATGAAAGCCTTGGACATCTGATGCTCTTAGGAAGCTTCAACTTCAAATGTTTCTTTTTGGAAAGTTCCTCAAAGATGCCTCACCCTCCTCCTCTCCTTTTCCGCTCCCATTTATTTATCCTCTTTACAAATTTTTATTAGTATTAAGTCAACACGGTAAGGTAGAGGAATCTAAAATATTGATCTCTTATTCGAGAATTTATCTTATCTTATTGAACTATGCTCATGTTGATTATTTGAGATACAGAATAGATAGCAAGAGCTACTTGGTGCTCTCACCCGCTTTCTTATATGTATTCAATGTAATGCATATCTTTTTTTTTTTTCTTTTGTCTCTTTCATACCAAGAAACCAAAATGATAGTAAATACCTATACCAACCATGAAAATGAAAGAGATTGATTTATGATTTGGTTCTTTCATGTATGTTCTTAATAAACTAGTTAAACTAACCTACTAGGTTAAAGTTCGAATCTCCTCACTCAATTGAAGTCAAAAATAAAAAAAATTTGACTCAAATTTTGATTTTGTTCTTATTCTCAAAAAAAAAAAAAAAAAACACACCCGTACGACAGAGATATTAGTTTTCTTATGAAGAAAGACGTATCTTGATCAGGATTAGGGGTTCCAAACCTTGGTTGTCTCTAGAATCTAAAATCTCTTAAATTCTCTCTTGTCGTGATAAAGAAAGATTTTTCAACCGATTCTGTTTTGAGAAGATGATTTATACAATCAAATACCCTTTTGATTTCCCAGAAGATCTATCTGTTTAACCCATCTTAGTTTTGTCCAACCCATTATGAAGCACACCCTTCTTTATATTATTTTCAGAATGTTCATCCAAACCATAAAAATTCCCAAATAAATGAGCTCCAGACATGTCCTTTATTACAAACACCACGTGATATATTAACCCCAAATCACATCAATTTCTCTTCCTCTTAAGAGTTTCAAGGACGGATTGTGCAGTGCAATAAGCAATAGCTTGAACAGTAACCATTGGATTCACTCCCAAAGCAGTTGGAAAAACACTGGAATCAGCAATAAAGAGCCCTTCCACTTCCCATGTTTCCCCTCTCTGATCCACCACAGAATCCCTTGCTCCAATTCCCATTCTGCAACTTCCCATTTGGTGAGCCGAACAGATTGGCGTCTTCAAATCCTTCAATGCCCTTGAACTCTCCTCTTTCACAAACTTCTCATACTCGTGGTAACTCACTTTCTTCACATTTATGCTTCTTCCCTTGTTATGGTGGGTCCCTATTTCCTCTGCCCCAGCTGCCGCCAAAATTTTCAAAGCCTTCTCTAGTCCTTTCTGTAGATTCTCTTCGTCCACTTCCTCCATATTGTAGCTGATACAGTTTGGAGATTTGACTGTTCCTGATCCTTTATCTCTTGCCAATACAAATACATGGGCTGTCCTGGAAAATTTGCGCATTCTTTGCTTTATATTTGTCCCAGAGAGCCATGGCATTAAGATTGAGAAGAGTCCTGGGTGCAATGCTGGTGTCTGAATTACTGCTCCTCCACTTCCAGGTTCTTGATCTGGTTCTGATCTAATGTTGCACATGGCCGTCATTATCCCACCTTCATAGCTTTTTTTGTGTTCCTCTGGCCATGGTTTATCTGTAATGGAAGAATGATTTAATGAATTTGTTAAACATTTTGGAAGTTCAGAGACCTATGGACTTATTAGACATTAGGGACCCATTAGACTCAAACATTTCATTTAGAAAATACGTTTTTAAGAAGATTTGCCAAAACAAGTTGCATGTTGACTAATTAAGGAGTTGATCCTGAGTTTATAAGTAATTGGTATGAGATCTTTTGGGGAAGTCCAAAGCAAAGCCACGAGAGCTTTTGCTCAAAGTAGACAATATCATACCATTGTAGACAATATCATAATATTGTAGAGAGTTGTTATTCCTAACGAACACCACTAATTCTTCTCGTTTTTTACAATGTAATGTTATATTATAATGCTAATGCTCATGTTGTTTTTTTTAGTAGAAATATGATAATACATACCAGTTTCTGCAGGGAAATGGCCCCACGCCATTGTTACAGGATGAAGATGCAAGTTTTTGCCAATATTTGGATTCCTCAAGCCGCTTCTTAGCAACAATGGAGGGGTACTGAGAGCCCCACATGCTACTATAGTCACCTTGGACTCAACCAAGCACACCTGTTTCACTCCTGAACCACACCCGAACTCGAACGCTACGCCTTTTGCTCTGTTGCGTTCGCTCCGGTCGTTCTTCTCCTTCCTGATATTAATGGCTTCGCAGCCGGGAAGTATCACACCATTTATCAATAATGGGAGTCAATTTTTATTATAAGCTTTTAATCTTATATGTAATATTTTAAGATATTTTATTTAGTAAATAAAAATGATAAAAACGCTTTTAAAATGTATTGGTTAATCTCATACCGGGTAGTCTTAAATCAGTTATAGTTTGGTTGATGGTATTTGCTACTCGGATAACCGTAGTAATTCTAGAGCTAATACGTGCAACAAACCCCGACTTCTGGAAGGGATGCATTTATTAGATAAAAGGTTGAGGTCGACGCAGGCTATGCCCAAGTCGGGATGCATTTATTAGATAAAAGGTCGAGGTCGACGCAGGCTATGCCCGTTGCTCTGATACCATGTTAGACGAACACGACTCTCCACAATGGTATGATATTGTCCACTTTGAGCATAAGCTCTCATGGTTTTGCTTTGGGCTTCCCAAAAGGTCTCATATCAATGGAGTTAGTATTCCTCACTTATAAACCCATGATCATTCCCTAAATTAGCCGATGTGGGACTTTCATCATCCAACAGTCTTCACTCGTAGAACCAAAGAGAGTGTCGGAGCCATCAGGTACCAAATCTAGATTTTGAATCATGATTCGAATCTTGAGTATGAGTCGTTACAAAAACGTTTATATAAAGCGTTAAGCAGTGGTCTGTGTTGAAATGACGATTTTCAACCACGTAATAAAATAAATATTTTGGAAGATGTTAAATTTTAATAATAAATTAAAAATCATGATATTATTAATAAAAAGACATTCCTTCCCATGATATCTTAGGGAAAGATTTTCTTAAACTTTTTATCTCCAATCATAGTCTCAAATGTGAAGAAGATACGATTTTAAAAAAACAAAAAATAAAATAATAATAATAATAATAATAAAATATATCTCCTAAAAACCTCTCTTCTTCTAGAAAAGACATATTCACGCACGTGCTTAATTATTTTATTATTTTTGTTCCATTGCTTAATTGTAATTCATTTTACTTTTAATTAATAAATTACAATAGTTTTAAAGTTATTTTTATTATAAATCATTCCTCACGACTTATTAGTATGATTATTTACTAACCTTCGCTCAAGAATTTTTAATCATCGAGAAGGTTAAAAAGATAAATATCGAGTAATTGACCCATATATTGTCCTATTTTTGTTAACCTCCCCAACCAATATGGGACATCACGATATAGGGGCCCAACGTTCTTACTGACACACCGTCTCGTGTCTACTCCCTCCCTTCGGGGCCCAACGCTCTTACTGTCACACCGTCTCGTGTCTACCCCCTTCGAAGAACAGCGAGAAAGCTGACATATCATCCGGTGTCTGGCTCTGATACCATTTGTAACGACCCAGATCCACCGCTAGCACATATTGTCCTCTTTGGCTTTCCCTTTCGAGCTTCTCTCAAGTCTTTAAAACGTGTCTGCTAAGGGAAGATTTCCATACCCTTGTAAATGGTGTTTTTGTTCTCCTTCCTAACTAAGAATGTTTGATTAATCCACCAAACCTAAATGGTGTGAATGTATTCTTATTTATAATCAAATAAATTACAAGGATATGGAATAGATACCTCTGGTAGATATTTGCCTTATAATAAAATATCAAATATAATATATACGGACATCACACACACATATATATAAAATATTTATAATAAACACGAGAAATAAGAATTAATTATTCATAACCACACTCTTTAATAATTGTTATATTTCAACCGAAAAAATTCAAACTTACAATTTATTATATGCAAATAACATATTTTAGTTTTGACGGTTAAACATAAGGATTCATTAAACGTTCAACTAAAAAACACACCAAAACGAAAACACAATCTCAAAATCATTCCCTAAACTCAATAAAGACACAATTACATTGCAAAGTCTCTAGCCATTATCTATGAAGGACCGGGTGGATCCTTATGACCTACCCCAGGGCTGTGCCCAGGTGACGTCGGTCGAAAAGCGTCCATCTCGACATATTTATACCGATTTATCGAGAATGTCGACATCGAAGCAGGAGGCGTTATTGCTGGCGAATAAATATCATGTCGGGGTCGTGATGTTACCGAGAGGAAATAAAGGAAAAAAACGACGAGAGCGAGAAGGTGAAAACTTCTAAGAGGCATAACAAAGGGAAGAAAGAAAAAAAGAGAAACTCGTAGCGTTTGTTTGTTATTGAGACGTTATGAGCAGAGGTATTTAAGATGAATTTCTTAAAATTTCTTATTATTAATAATGAGAATAATTTCCTCATTTAGATGGTTTGATGAGACCACGCTCATTATTTCAAATTAGGGAAAGGAATTTCTAGAAGCAATTGATTTGTATAATCTCTAACTTTATATTATATAAAGTTGATATTTATTTGAATGTATTTATAATTTTCTAATATATATTTTAAAAATAAATAATTAATAAATAAAACTAATACAAATAAGCTTATTTTTTAAAACTAAATTTATTAATATATATACATATATACCTTGATTAGACAACACCAAAGCAAGCTTAATGAACAAGAAGCTCCGAATTAAATAAAATAAAAGAAAATTATATTAAATTTGAATTATTAAATTTTAAGAAAATAAAAATGCTTCTTCCACTAACCTTCTAAATCTTAGACTTGACAGATTAATAATATTTTTCATCTTCCTCAAAATAATAATAATATTATTATTATTATTATTAATTACTTAATTAATTAAAGAAATACTTTCCATCGATTAATTATATTTTTAATTAACGAATTATTTGAAATTTAAGATAATATGAATTAATAAAAAGAAAAATTAGAAATCCTTAAATAAATATTAATGGTAAAAAGTTGAAAGCTTACTAAAATTTGAGGACTAAAGTATAAATAGTTAAATTTGAGGGACCAAATTAGAAATAAATAAAAATAAAAGATGGACAACTTTTCTTAGTAGTATGAGAAAGTGGTTGCCAAATATGTAGTTTCAAAGTCCTAGAATTGCAAAAGTTCTTGAACGGGGTTCGCCTGCGACTATGGTGGGCCCTACCTTTTTATTCTCTCATGATTATAGTTTTAATACGATCCCGACGTTCTTTTTCTGCTCCTACAATATGATCATATTACTTACTTATCTTACTTTCAATAGTGAAAATTACCTTCATAAATTAACACAGTATCCTTTCATTATATTAAAATTAAATTAAATGGGTATTTATGTCGATGTATTTAAAATTATTATTATTATTATTATTATTTTTAGGGAGGGAGGAGCGTCCTAGGATAGGTCACAGTAATATAACTTTATAGGACTATGTCACATCTTTTTGTAATTATTTGTCCTATTCATTCCATTCAAACAAAAAAAAAAACAATATATTTATTACATTTTTGACATGTAAATAAAACTCTTGGGATTATTCCAATCTCGGGAATTTTGTTAAATTACGAATTTAGCCCTTGAATTTTCATGTTTATGTCTAATATAACAATAAATTTTCGATTTTATATCCAATAAGTTTTTTAATTTTAACGACGTCGAATACGTCAATAACTTGTGAGATACAAAATCGAAAATTTACGAATTTAATAGTGACAATAATGAAAGGTTCATAACTGCATTTTAACTATTAAAACTTCATACGATACAAAAATCTCACTTAGAAATCGGATTTTGATGAGAGATGGTTGTAGCGGTTTCGAACGCGGGAGTAATGGAAATAAAGTTAGAAATAAAGAAAATTATAAATTATTTTTTGATATCATCATCATCTCATCTCATCTCTCACCAAGCTGCATCTAATTTGTTTAGTTTTTTCAAGCTAATTTAATGCAAGAGGGGACATGCTTTATTCATACCATTCAATACACAAATTATAAATTAATGTAATTCTTATATCAAAAGATGGTTAAAAATTAATTTTTATGATTTTACAGTCAAATTTATAATTTGATTTGGAAAAATTTAGTTCTTGTGATTTTACATTTATTTACGGTTAAATTGTAAATTTAAGGCAGCTAGTTTTTAATTTTTATGATTTTAAGGGTAGATTTGATAGTATTAATTTTCCGACAAAATTGAAAATTTGAAATTCCTATGATTTTAAGTGTTAGAACTAGTGTCTTAAAGTTTGCTAAAACACTGAAGGAAGTAATTGTGAAGTTTTTGTAGAAGCTTTATCGAATCATAAAGGCGAAAATAGAACGGAATAGATGGTTTAAAGAAATTCTTTCGTCCACAAGCGAACATTTTTATAAAAGAAAAAATTATAAAGATAATTATCACATCGAATAAGTTATCTCCTATCAAAGGATGCCTTTTTTTAAAAAAAAAAAATAATAATAATAATAATATTAGCATATGTTTAACTTTGATAAATTATATGGTTGGGTATATATTCCCTTGTAAATTTTTATTAGAGAATTAAAAATATTTTAATCTTTTTAATTTACTTGTTTAAAACATATTAATATATTTATGACACTTTTTTTTTTTTTTTTTTATTAAACCCTAAACATATTAATATTTTAATCTTTAATTTACTTATTTAAAACATATTAGATTTTTATTAGTATATATTAGCATTTTTTTTAAAAGAAGAATTTAGTACATCATGGATTTTAGGAATTAAAAAAGGGTTCGGAAAAGTAGGAAGAAAAGTGTTCATATACCTTTCAATTAGGGTTTCATTGATTCCTTTTAGAGTTCAAACAAAAAAAAAAAGACCAAGATCATTGGCATACCAGGAATGTGACTTCGACTCGAGTTTCTCTTCATTCTTTTAATTGTTGGCCTAAGTACACAACGAAATTTAGGATAACAATTTCTAAAAAATAAAACGTTTTGATGACATAGGATCCGAAACAAAATATTTAACGACTGACATGACATTAATAAGATAATTTAAGAAAGTCAAAATAAGATATCAACTATAATTATACAACATCTACACTTACTAGGTTTGGGGTAAAGGTAAAGATATTCTAGTGGTTGTTGAGATCTATAACACGTAAGAGCAGAGATTCAAATATTTAT